GGGGGGGGGGGGGACAAGGATTCCCCAAGACAGCACTGGCACATTGCCAGTTTCTATTCAACTTGTCACTCACTTCAGTCACTCATCTTATTTTCTGTTATGATAAACAACAATAACAGCTTACTCAGGGAGCATTTTCTAAAAGACAAGCATTTTCAGACACAGAGATTACATTTGACACTCACAACCATCTCACATGGGAAACAGCACATTTTAAAAATAAGGATACCGGGGCTCAGAGAGGTCAAGTGTCATGTCCAGGATCACAGCTAATTAGAGGAAGTGGAGTCAGCACCATCACCTCTTAGCCCTGCACCATCCTCACGTCTTTCCTTGTAAGGAGGGCGAGCATGGAATGAAGCCAAGTTTGATCTCTTGAGAGAAAGTGGTACTTTGTATCAATCATTCACACTTCAGTATGATGTATTTCCAGTCTGGTCCAGAGAGTAAAACAACAATAGGACACACTCACTGAAAAGTTGCAACAAAGGCTCCACCAAGGGGTGGAAGGGAAGGAGTGCAGTGAATATCAAAAAACAATGTCACCCAGTCTCAATTTCTCCCTCCTGGGAGGCTCAACTGTTGGAACCAAGCTTACAGAAGTTCAGGACAAGGCAGAAGGTGTCTGATGAAGACAGTCAAGTAATAATAATTATTGAGATCCTCCGGGTGCAGGGTCCTGTGCTGAGCACCTGGGAGGCTGTAGTAAAGAAGGCAAGGGTGCTTACGTTCCAGGATGGGGAGACGCAATAAGTAAGTACATGAATAAGAATGTGATAGGACTTCCCTGGCGGTCCAGTGGTTAAGACTCCGTGCTTCCAATGCAGGGGGTGCAGGTTCGATCCCTGGTCAGGGAACTAAGATCCCACATGCCCTCTGCAAAGAACGTGAAATAGGACAGGTGCTGTAAAGATGGCACGTCCTGATGAGATGAAGAGTTTCGAGAGTGGCAGGGTGGGGTTACTACTTTGGTTTTGGGAGTCAGGGAAGGCCTCTCCAAGAAGGTGACACTGGGGTAAAACTTGAACAAAGAAAAGGTACCAGGCTGGCCAAGATCTTCTTGATTGGAAGAACAAGATCAGGACCCAATCAATGCAAAAAAGTTTAAATGACAGCAGCAATAATAATAGTGGAATGGTAGTCAGCATTGCTAACCCTTATGTAGCACTTATTATGTGATAGGCACTGCTCTAAGTAATTTCCATATGTTACATCATGTCATACTCACCACAATGCTGTGAGATAGGTATTATCACAATCCTCATTTGACAGTGAGAAAAAATGAGGCAAAGAGAGTTTAAGTGTCTTAACCAAGAAGAGATAAGAAGCGGAAGAGAAAATTGCTGGGTGGTCAGTGGTCAGGTCCCTACGGTCCCAGCACTGAGTTTGAAGAGGCAAGATGGTCAAAGAACCCAGGGGTATTTGGCGGCCTTTTCCAGACTACTTGCGGTACCCCGACTTCTAACACCAAGCTCAATGCCAAGAGTCTAACGGAGCTGCAGCACTAAAGTGATCATGTCATCAGATGAGTGGGTGCAGCACCCAGCCCCCTCCCCTCCCAGAGTCCCCCACTTGGGAAGCGTTTGCAGCAGAGGGCTGAGTGGGAGGCCAGCTGCACACCGCCCACTGCTCCTCTCGTCTCCACTATAAATAACACAGTTAAGAAAAAGAAACCCACAAGCAGGGGCACTTTTATCGTTACACCCACTTTCTGGTCTGCTCACTCCATACAAGTGATGTGACATCTGAATTCAAAGTCAGGCGTGGTGAACCGAAGTGTGTCAGGAAACCAAATAGTTGGTGTCAAGAGATCCAGGTGGAAAGGAAGGGGTGTTGGCTCCTCTTAAAGACGCCATGCTCCTCTTCCTGCAAGACCTGACCTCGGCTAAAGCTGTCATTGGCCAAGTCAGAGCACCCCTCCCCTGCTCCCCTGACCCCTCTGTCTCCCTTTGTTGTTGTTCTGATAATTAATAGAGAACATGTCACATTACAGCATTGTAGGAGTTGGATAGATATTGGGGGAGGAAAAGGAAGAGAGGGGAGGGGAGGACACATCTGAGATGAAGGGGAAGAAAAAGGACGTAACCAAGCTTGCTCCCAAAGAACTCATAGTGATGGTGCAAATGGGCACATAAACATGTGATGACAACTCAATGTGGCACATGGTTTAGAACAGATCTGACCAAGATGTGGTGGCAGCCCTGAGGCAGCAACAACGTCTGCAAAAATGTCCTTTAATCTGAGCCTTGGAAGGTGAGTAGGAGTTTTCCAGGTAGAAACAGGCAGGAAAGGGCACTTCAGGCAGAGGAAAGAAATATGCACAAGCAAGACACAGAAAAGAGCCCATCGTCCACAGGGAGATAAGACTGGGATGCCCATCAAGGCTGCAGATATCACCATGCTGTATTCTTCCTCCAAAGTTGACACCTTAGAGCAACTGGTGGTATCCCACACCCATCCAGACACTAGGACTAGCCATTTCTGCCTTAGGACAGTTTTTAGCTTTGTTGTTGACTCTGGTCCCCAGTGCCACCACTGGCACCGAGGGTCATCCATCCATGGCCTCTTTGGTAGGTCTTTCTTATGACAACAGCCTGGTCTCCCTACTTCCTGATTCTCCTCACCCCCAACTTGTCCACTCTCAATGACCCCCTGTTTCTGAGCCAACTTTGGAGAAGTTTTGGAGTCTACCTAGGTAATGGTGATAAACCATCCAAGGAGGAGGATGTCACTTGCTTCAGCTAGAGCCCAGATTGCCCAGCAGAAGACGAGTTAGAAAGGAAGCTGACTTAGAAAGACCAGAGAACCAGGGAGCAGGACCACAGAGAGGCTAATGATAGAGGCAGGGTTCATTCACCCAACAATACAGTAGACTTTTGAGTCTGAGCCTCACCTCTCTGGATGCGGGGCAAAAGACAGCACAAAAAGAAGACACAGTGCCCACTGTCCCTGCCCTCCTGGAGCCTGGAGGAGACAGCCATTAATCCAATAACTACTCAAATAAAGGCAAAATCACAAATCATGATAAACAGTGTGAAGAATATTTAAAAGGAGCTCTGTGCGCTTACAACGGTGGTGAAGGCAGTCAAGGAAGACTTCAGGACAGGACATATGAGCCAAGATTTGAAGGGTGGGTTAACTAGGTAAAAGATGGAGAGAAGGAGTAGTTCTACTTACAAGCTAAGAAAGTTAGCCTAGGAGTAATATTATCTGGATTTGAATCATATCCCCACCGATGGTCAACTGGGGGCAAATTATTTCACCCTTGCATGTCTTGGTTGCCTTGACTGCAAAATGGAGATAGCAATTACCTTAGAGATTTGTTATAAAGATTCAATAAGACAAAGCGTTTACAGTAGATAGTACAGTACAGAGTAAGGACTTCATAAACAGTGGGAGTACCAGTAATAGTTACTGTGGTTGTAGTGATGATGATTAAAATGAGGCTGTTAGGATGATGGTAGTGGTGATGGTGGTGGTGATTATGGTGATAATCATGATATTGTTGATGGTCAGTATGAGAATGATGATGGTGATAATGATGTTAATGGCGTTGACAAGGATGATGATGACGTCTGCACTCACAGCAACAGGAACAACATATGTAAATACCCTCAGGCTGAAGGAGCCATGGGGGTAAGAGGTGCTAAAGAGAGGAGACAGGCATGTCTCTTAAGGCAGACAGAGCCAGACTCTGCAAATGCCCAGTTATAGACTCTAGACCCCAAGCTTCCTCAAAATGTAATCAAAGTGCTCTAAAAGTGCTATTACAGCAATGACTCAGATTCAGCTAAAATTTCTTGAGCTCCCTGCCTTGAAAGGTCCTGCCTTGGGAATTCCCTGGCGATCCAGTGGTTAGTACTCCATGCTTCCATTGCAGAGGGCCCTGGTCAGGGAACTAAGATCCAGCATGCCGCGTGGCGTGGCCAAAAAAAAAAAAAAAGTCCTGCCATTCTACCAACAGTACCAGCAGGGAAGCCAGTGTTAAGTGAGTACCTACTATGTGCTGGGCAATTACTCATGTGTTACTCTGAGCCTCATGACATTTACTAGGTGACTGGCCCCATGCTGAGCACAGATAATATGTTGAGAAGCAGGATACAGATAATTACGCTCATTTTACATAGAAGAAAATAAACAAGGCATAGAAAGTTTAATTAATTATCCAGGTTACACAGCTAATAAATAATAAAGACAGGGTTTCAACCCAGGCTCAAATGTCTCCCAGTTTAAGTCCTTTCTTCTCTGTACCACAATGACTTTTGGTGCTTAGTCAGAGGATGTGTAGACTTATAGAGTCAGAGCTGCAGGACCCAGGTCCCAGTCAGCAAAGGAGCTCTCTCCTGCTTCATCCCTAGAGGGGGCGGCTCCCCTGATGCCAGCAGAGTTCACAGAAAGTCCTCATAAAGTCCCACAATCCACAACTTGTAAGTCACTATTCATAAGAGATGACAAGAGGGGAAAAGGGTGTATGTGTTCATTGAGCCTCTACAAGATGGTAAGTGCTTTACAGACATTATTTCATGGAGGCCAATCCCATTCCTTACTCAGATATTACAGCCTCCTACTTATAAGATAAAGGAACTAAGACTCAGAGTGGTTGCAAATCTTGCCCAAGGTCACACAATGGAGGGTGTCATATTTAAATCCAGGACTGACTTGACTCCAAAGCCCAGTCTCTTTAGTCACTTTCTTTTTTTTCCCCCCTTTCAATTCATTTAATTTCAATAATCTGTCAAAAAAAAAAAGCCAATAAACAAATACTGAACTACATTTTGTTGGGTTTTTCAAACCCTCAAACTCCTGACTTATAAAAACAGCTTGTGTGTCTTCCACCCTGACCACCCTGCTACTTTTCCATATACCACAGGCCACCCATAGATACAAAGCCAGGGCAGCCGGGGGGAAGCTGACGTGGTCTACTTGGAGCCAGAAGACAGGAGGGCGATGAGGCCCGAGGAAGCACTTATGGACAAAATGTAGTTTACTGTGGGGCTGAAGTTCTTCAGTATAAAGAAGGAAACAACAATGACCAAGACCAGAAATAGGGTGTTATTATTATAGAGGATGGAAAATGTTACAGCTTCATAATCAGCAACTTCATTCTTCTTCCACAAGATTCTTTCATCTTTTTCCTCCCGAGACATCTTTCTATTACCAGCTTCAGAAAGTTTTCGAGCCACTTCTTTGGAAACAGCATCCTCCCTCTTCTGTGCTACTTTGTGCTTGAGAACAAATTTCACGTTTTTGTATACAAAGGCTACCAAATAAGTGCTTACTAGGGTCATCACACTATACAGAACAGCAGACTGAATAAGATCCATATGCCATATTCGCCAATATAGCCAGATGGGGATGGCAGACACAATGAAGGCGTTCCCAAAGAAGTGCACCAAAGACTTGGCCAAGAGGTTGTGGCTGAAATCCTGCAGGAGCAGGTCCTCCTCGGACTGCTGCTTGGAGCCACCCTTGGGAGCCGTGGTGGAACCGCAGCCACCAGACAGGAGGGCCGAGTCAGGCGCCGAGCTGGGCAGAGGCCTCTGGCACCAGCCCTGTGGCCACCGTATCTGCTAACAACCCCTCTTTAGCCACTTTCTCCCAATTGTTCTTTTGTGATGCAACACACACAAACACACACACACAGCCAAACACAGCCATGGACACAAACAGATTTTACCCCAACTCTGAATGCATCAAAATGTGTATAAATTCATAATGCTTTTAAAAATGCCCTACCTCTGAGACCAGAGGAGGAAGAATGAAGGAGATTTCTGCCTGCTTTCCTTATGTGTTTAGGCTGCAGCAGAGCTTTTAGATATTTCCAAGCACTTGGCCTCCTTGCTCTGGGAAGGATAATAGACTATCCAGCTGAGGTTTCATGGTTGAGGCTTTAGACACTGGAAAACAGACTTTCCGTGGCTATTTATTCACCTATAGTGTCCTCAGCTGCTCCAGGAACTGAAGTTACCATAGATGCCCAGGCAGGGACTGAGCAGAGATGCTGGATACACATTTGGGTCCGTTCATTACATATTTGCGTATGTGACTTTCCAGAGACAATGCTTAAAAGAGAGTTACAACTGCAGACTCTTCCTTTCTAGCTATGCCCTGAGCAGTTCATTTAATCTTTTTATGCTTTGTTTTACCATCTGGGAAAGGGAATAACAGCATTATCACCAATCTTATCTTCGTCAGCTATTACTGTGATGATCTGGGCTAACAAACAACACCCAAATCTCAGTGGTTTACCTCGACAAGCATTTCTTTCTCACTCACAGCACTGTAGGTCATCTGGGGCAGCTCTGCTTCAGGCTGTAGATTGAGTTCAGGTCTTTTTCATTTTAGGATGAAAGGAAGCAGGTATCTGGGGCGTGGTCTTTCCGTGATTAATCACAGGAGTGTAAGAGGGCTGGCCAAATCACTTGAGCACATTTCAAAGTTTTGGTTGGGATCCACTCACATCCCAATAGCCAAAATCAATCACATGGCCAGGTATAAAGTCAGTCTGGGGGATGGAAAGAGTGGGGAGGTGTTCCAGTTACCAGCAGTGTGTAACACTTTATTTCAAAACTTAGCAGCCCACACCAGCCATTTTATTTCACTTGTGACTTTACTGGTCAGGAGTTTGGGGAGGGCTTAGCTGGACTCTCTCCAGGGGCTGTAGTCAGGTGGCAGCTGAGGCTGCAGTCATCTGAAGGCTCAGCCGGGCTGGACATCCAGGATAGCTCCCTCACATGGCTGGCACATAATGCTGGTAGTCATCTGGGCTGGACCAAAGTGCCCACATGTAGCCTCCCCAGCATGGACGTCTCAGGGTAGTTGGATTCCTCATGTGATGCCTGGCTTCCCCCAGCTACATGTCCCAAGAGACCAGGTGGAAGCTGCATGGCTTTCTCTGACTTATCCTCCAAAGTTATGCAGCATCAATTCCACTGCATTGTACTGGTTACAAATAAGTCACTAAAAACAGCCTAGGTTCAAGGGCAGGGGACATAGACCCCCACCTCTCAATGGGAAGAGTGTCAAAGAATTTGCAAGCACAGTTTTAAACCATCACAAGAGGCACCAGAGGAAGAAAAATGAATAAATATTATCCACATATCCCCCCCCATAAAAGTTGTGATAATACTTGTAAAGCGTTTAGCACAGTGTGTGGTACAGAGCAAGCACTAAATAAATAAATGGTAGTCACACAGGGGCTTCCCTGGTGGTGCAGTGGTTAAGATCTCACGCTCCCAAGGCAGGGGGCCCAGGATCAATCCCTGGTCAGGGAAGTAGATCCCACTGCCTCAACTAAGAGTTCGCATGCCACAACTAAGGAGCCCGCCTGCCACAACTAAGGAGCACATGTGCCACAGCTAAGACCCGATGCAACCAAATAAATAAATAAAATATTTTAAAAACTAAATAAAGGAGAAAAAAAAAGAATTCATTTAGGAAAAAAATGGTAGCCACACAAATCACAGAGTCACTGGGCTGAGATTTCAGATGCCCCCCTACCTTGCTGTTAACTTGGTTGAGCTAACTAGACTACCGTGATGAGGCCAAAAGGTCAAAAGATGGTGATGGGGCTACCGTTTGCAGTTCCCCTGCAACATGCCAAGTACCCCGCTAGGCAGTTTCCATGCAGGATCTTATTTAATCTCCACAAGAAGCTTGTGAGGCTGTGTTGTTGCTGTTATCCGTGTAGTCTGAAAACTCTCATATCCTCCCATCATCTTAAAAAATGTTGTAAACATGCCACTGTGGGTGTACTTGGGAGAGCAGTCAAGCATCCCTCCTTTTATCCCTCCCCTCTGCACCCCTCCCCAGTTTAATGGTCCACACAACCAGAAAGCCTGTGCAATTTGTTCATCCCTCTATCCCAGCACTAACCCTACTGGATATCACTTTGGGCCCACTCTCATGTCACTGAGAGGTCCTTGGAGACAAGGACTGTGTCTGATCTATTTCTGGACCCTGTGCCCAGCGCAGGACTACCCCAGAGGAACATGGCCATCTCTCATGTTTCCTCCAGCTGCACTCACCATCCTTCCTCTACCTGTATGGACCACATCAACAGGCTCCCTTGTCCTCTGGTCAGACTTGACCAGCAGGGAGTCCTGGCAGGGGATCAGAGGAAGAAAGAAGAGTGCATTCAGGGTACTGATTCTCCCCAGCTGCCTCTCTGCAAACTTGCCTAGGTCTGGCTGTGTCTCTCAGCCAAGGGACCCAGCTTCTGATCCCCAGCTGTCTCTCCACGACTCCCTCCACCCACCTCCAGTATCTGGCACTTCCTCCTGCCCCTTCCCTTTAGACCTGGGGAAAGGAGCACTGTTACTAGCCCCAGGTAATGGTCTACCCCTTACGATTTCCCTA